GTCTTCTTCGTGATCTATTAAACCCTTTGGAAGATACAATTTCTGCCAGAAATTTCGCAGCAGTCCAAAATTTTTCCGTATTCGTAGAAATTTTCATGGAGTGCTTCATAGACGCTCACCCTCCTGTTAGCGCCTAGCGTGTACGGCTCCCCTTCCTTGCTTCTTTGAAGAGACAGTTCACGACAAGAATAGTCTCTAAGGTCTTCCTTAGAAGGAACCTGTGGCCTCCAAGGATAGTAAGTGGGGATATTGTTGGACCAAAAAGCGGCTAAGACAGGGCTTAGTAGGGGCCTCATCAACGGCTTAGCCAACGTACCAACCAGAAGTAGCCTTGTCATGACGGGCCTTGTCAAGGTTCAACCATTCACAATGAGACGTTGGGACGCCGACGAATAGTGTGCTTGCGTGAGAGACACCCAGACGGCTACAAACGGCGGCACATTCGTCAATCTGATCTGCAAACGTTCCTCTTCTTTTCATTTTCAAAAGAACAGTGTTTTATGCCGTCAACTTTAAGAATCGGCCCAGTAAGAGGCAATGTGTACCATTTCTGACCTCTAGGGCCTGTTCTTTACGCTGTTATGGTAACGAGAATCCCTGTATTTTTTTTTTGTTTCTACGCTATTATTTCCTCCATTTCAGTTGAGTTAGGTATATCAGAATTAGCATAAACTCTTCTTTCTCAAGACAAAATCGGAATTTTTGTCAAGTATTTGGCTTCGAAGCCCCTCCTGAGCGGTTTTGTGCACGGCTCTCCCCAACGTTTTGAAGCTGGGAGAATGAAGGCCGATGATGAGCTTCGATCTAGTCGACTGACGGCGATATCATGAAATCTCCTAGTATATTATGTGCATAAAACCGGGGGATGTATCGCCTGAAAGCAGTTTATGGAAACTTCCACCGAATTCCCAGAAGAATCCTGACATTTGTGAAATTTTTGGCAGATATACACCGTAAAATCATGGTTTTGGATATTTTACCAGCTGATTATGTATGTACAAGGTATTCTCAAGAGTCACTTTGGTTGTTAGGAGAAATGGCCTGTAACTTGAGCTGCTGGGCTTTTTTCATCGATTTCCTTCTGACTTCGTTCATTTCTTTTGGTTCTGTTGAAACTCAACTCGAGAATTTCAGGCGAGCTTTCAAGCGTTCCTACGACGAATACATGGCGTTCGCCCACCCGACGGAAGACATATATTTGGAATGAATGAAGTGGTTCAAACTGTTCCAGACCACACTTTCTCTATCGTTCCCTGCACGAATTCACTGACCTGAGAGCAGCTTATGAACTTCTATGTATATGTGGCCTGGGGACCTATTTGATGTATTCTGCACAGACGAGTCGCAAATAACGGGTGGAAGCGACTTTTGTCTGGGGATTCTGGAGAGAACACATGTCCTGCTAACATAAGCTGCCCTTGGGGTCTTCCTTCAGTTGGGATCGATCCTTTTCTTCCCGCTAGGCTATACCGATCTCACATGTTCCGTTACGAGTATAATTTTAATATTCGTTTTCGTTTCTAAAAACGCTAACAAAGTTAGTCGGTACTATTTTCCAGTGCACATTTCTTGTATTATACCCAGCGACAAATATTGGAATAAAGTTCCTTGAAATTGTTTCTGTCTTGAAAGGAAAAGTTGATTGATAGAAGTAGCCTTGCTACAGTATTCTACAGTATTCTACAATATACTACTAAAAACGGATTCAAAGAAATTACAATCTAATGGTCGCCTCACGCACGTCGACTTTTACAGCTTTACCATCGATGATTGGGAAACTCCAGATTCGCAATTATCAATTTCATCTTCACCAAGGGTAAAAACGCGAGTGCATCGGCTGACTGAACTTATTAGCAACCTATTATTATAACATAGCACTTATTCGCTGAAAGCACTTTTCACCGATTGGTGGTTGAACCGCTTTACTGCAGGAGATACAGTAGAGCTCAAAAGTCATCGGTGAAATGCTTTGACGCTTTTTCGTTCATAACTTTTCTTA